TGAAGTAGAAACAGAAGAGAGAGTGAGAGGAGAGGCAGCTGTGCAGCAAAGACAGAGTGACTCCAGCTTTGTGTCTTTTTCCATTCGAGCTGAAGTTCAGGACAAACTGTTCCTTTCCACCTCAACACGAAACGTGTAATATTTTCTCTGAATACGAGACGATTCTGTCTTTTTACGGGACGGTTGGAAACTCTACTAACTGACCTTAGGAATAAAATAAAGTTCACCATCAGTAACATCATAGCACCACCCACCTGTATAGAAACTCCGTCATGCTAGCTAGTAGCAGTACGAGTTATTGCAACTGACTGTAAAAAGTCAGCATAACGAAAATAAACTCCATGTAAACTTGGTTCATATCTGACCCAGAGACAGCAGCTCATAACTTCTTACCTGAAGTTCAGTTCACACTCGGACCAGCGGCCGCTTCAGGTCTCTGCTCCTGCCTCCCCTTCCTCTCATCCACCTGCTGGCCTCTGTGGAAGCTCCGTGATGCCACCACCAAACAACTGACTTATTTTTACATGTTGACCAGATCCTGACCAATCCACCACCTCTCATTGTTTATACTGTTACCAAAAAAAAAAATCACCATCGGGCCAGTCCAGCTATGGTTGTGCCATCAGTTAACCCAGGGTTGCCAGCCCCTGCTTTATAGTAACAACTGCAGCCTCAGTGTGAGAGCTGTGAGCACAAAACTCAGTCCATCATCAGGCTGACAGCAGATTTACCCAACAGGGCTGTGCAGTGCTGACTGTCACACCGTAACCATGTGACTGTATTTGGATAAGAGGGGGAATACTGAGCCATCATTGAATCCCAGAGAGTGGATTCTGTTCATCATCATCATCCTGGTGACTCTTCAGTCTCAGCTGACTGCAGCTTTCCAACCTTATAAACTCCACATTTGCATAATGAGTGAAATAACTCCACTGATGAACAATGGTGCCGTGAGCTCAGTTTCATGATCAATAATATGCAAATGATTGTTGATCATATCAGCTAAAGCTGCCTAACTTCAGTTTGCAGCATCCCATCTGCAAACTGATGCTAAAAATCATCCAATTAACATCCCAGAATTTCACCAGACCTGGAGCTCAGACTTCCTGAAAGGTCCGTTGGTCCAACAACCCGACAGCAGGATTATTATAGAAATGCTCCAAAAGCACCGACGCGCCCCTGATGGAAACTTTAACCCTTAATGCGGTTTAAACACATGAGTTATAAAATACAGGTGTGACATGATGAGCAGAGAATGAAGAGTTTGTGTTTCAGGCTGTAAACATGTTTGTTTCTGGTGTGGGGACCCACTCACCGCTGTAGCCTCTAGTGGACATTAGAGGAACTGCAGTATAGGACTCTAGCTCCATAGCTCAGGAACGTGTATTTAAATTGTAAATGAACTTAAAACTGAAGCATAGAATAAACTGATTATTAAAGCTCGTTAACCTAAAGTTAACCTGCTGACCTGCCAGCCTGTCTCTGTGTCTCTTTCATTTTATCAGCGTACAAGAAAACCTTCTGCAGTAAAGTCACATCACAGTTTACTGGCAGGCTTTGTGTTTCAGTTTTCGGTGACTAAAACTTCTCTGTTTATTTTATTTCTTTAGTTTTGACCTTGGGGAGATCAGCTTGTTCACTAACATCACACAGGAGCTCACAGCTTTACTCGGCACCATCATGGTTTTGTTGTAGCTGGTTTTATTAACTCTGGGACGTTCTGTGTGAACGAGTTTCTCCTCTCTGCAGGCTGCTGATGTACATGAAGCTTCGCTGCGATCTACCACCAAAGAGGTCTGTTTGCATCCCACATATTTGCACAGAAAGCGCTTCAGGTGGAAGCAGCAGACATGTTTGCTTGAGGCCGTCTGCAGGTGCAGCAGGTGTGTTTGAATGATTCACGGCGTCCGTGTTGGAAACGACACCAGCTGCTGTCGGCCAGACGCCGCTTTAAAGGGCCAGCGCACCAAATTAAAAAGGAGAGTTCAATCTGGGGAAGCAGTCAGCAGGGGCTCACACAATCCAGAGGCATGATGGGAAGTGTAGGATCCAGTCTTTTTAGAGTTTGAGGATATGGGAGTCTCCTTCCTTTCCTCTCAGCTGTTTAAGATAAAGAAGGATTATTGTGATCTGAGGAGGGAACCGAGCAGAATAATGCTACTTTGACTGAATCACTGCTTTGGAGAAAAAGCTCTAACAGCTTTTTTACGATCACTGTAAGCAAAGCGAGGACCGAGCTGAGGCGTCAGTGCAGCACTCGAGTGATAATGACAGATGATGATGACGTCATTGTTTTGTTTTGCAGCGCCGCCATCAACGTGTGTGCCACCATCCCCGTCCCCAAAGGCTCCATGAGGTGAGGCGCTGCCATTCAAACCAGCTGCTGCTTCTCATGGAAATCAGTCTGTATGTAAACCCAGCGCCGGCGCGTCGATTTGAATGTGACTCAGTTGTTGTTGTTCTGCCCGAACAGGAAGCTTAACGCCAGACGAGAGTTCCTCGAGCCTGTGAAGAAACCGCGGCTCTTCTTAGAAGTGTTTTAAATAGAAAACAACATTAGCAAAGTAGGAGGGGCGGTTCTTATTTGTTAAGGAAAGTCATGGAAATCAAAGTCAGCGATGTGTGGAGGGCCTCGAGACACAGTCCTGCTGCACAGTCACAGGTGACGTACAGGCAGCAGGGATGGTGTTGGTTTAGGTTCTCACGTCATGTGAAGTCCAAACCAGTAAAATCATAAAGACATCAATTTACTTAAAAGCCTGTCGAACTCAGCGCAGATCACATGATCAGATCCCTGTAATCCACTGATCAGAAAGATTACAGGGCCGCTTTTTAATCACTGTGCCGTCATGTCAATGAAACATCAGGGATACTGATCGTAAGTCAGGTTCAGAGGGCCAACAACGAGACAAACCCTAAACAGGAACGCTGTGACAGGACACTTTGCATTTGGCTAGTCTCAGTGTCACTGCTGCTAGCAGGAGGTGATACCTGGAGCCTGTGGAGGGTGCACAGGTAGTCCAGCTCTTTGCTGTGTCTCCCAGCACAGGCTCAGGTCCTTAACCATCAGCAGGGCCGGCATCTGCTGCTTTTGTGTCAGAGCGGCACACATCCCAGCAGGTCGCTGATGCTCAGAGATCAAGGTTCTTTATTTGTCACATGCATAACTATGCATGCAAACAATCAGAAGAGGGTGGCCCGAGGGCTCGACGTCCTCTGGTGCTCAGTGCCCAGCACCGTGGAGCCCGACTTGCACTGAACCATAGAATAACCACAAGCTCCACACAGAAGAGTCTGGCAGCATTCAGGCCGCGGGACCGAGGGGTCGTGGTTTCTCGCTCCATCCAGCCGTAAATCTTCCAGCAGCAGGCGTGAGCTGAGGTGGTTTCTGTACAGCTTGTGTTGATGTGGCAAACTCGCAGCGATGAAGTTTTCATCACGAAGTTTTAAGAAAAATGTTTCAAAAGTTTAAAGCTTTAACCTCCTAAGACACGAACTCTTTCACGGCATTTTTAATCTCTCTTTGCTCTTTGGCCTGATTGGGACCCGATGAATGTAAAAACAAAGAATTACCTGATTTTTGTTTTTGATGAAAATGAGATCCACGTATGAGGACATTCGTTTTAAATTTTGATAGAAGAGTGGCAGCATAATGTCCTCGTCAGTGGATATCAGGCACTTGTAGAGCAAAATTAGTATTTTGGTCTCCAGACGGCTTTGAGCTGCTTGAATCAGAATGAAGTCTCATCTGAGGCCTTGCTTTACAAACTGCTGCCGACAGCTGCGAGTGATTGATGAACGTTGCGTCCTTCCTGTTGGACGTTACGCTCGCTGTGACTGGAGAGCTGAGGTCAGTTTAACGACCACAGAGTTCAGTTATGGACGGAGCAGCATTGTGGAAAATGACGGTTACATCAGCTGAAAGCTGCCGTCAGGATTACCAATCAAATCATGTCTGAAAGCTTCTCCGCCTCGCCGCCGCACACTGAGATTATGTCTGTAACAGCAGCCAGGTGACCTCTGACCTCTGGCGGGGGTGGTTTGCAGCAGGTTGTCAGGTGTGAATGAAGCTGCTCACGTTTGTTTGTTTGCTCAGTTTGTCGCAGGAGCTGAGCAGCCCGGATCAGAGCGCCGAGCTGAAGCCGCAGAGCCGAGCCGTCGTCTGGCAGATCGCTCGCTTCGCTGGAGGGACACAGCTCTCAGCGCTGTTCAAGGTAAATGGCCTGTATTTGTGTAGCGCGTCACACACACTGCTGATGGCAGCTACATTGTAGCCAGAGCTGCCCTGGGGCGCACTGACAGAGGTGAGGCTGCCGGACACTGGCGCCACCGGGCCCTCTGACCACCACCAGTAGGGTGGAGTGGTGTCTTGCCAAAGCACACAACGACCGAGACTGTCGGAGCCGGGGCTCGAACCGGCAACCTTCCGATTACAAGGCGAACTCAACTCTTGAACCACGATCGCCCCGTGTGTGGTGACCACACACGCCTGGAATGTCTGGAAATTTGTTCATACTAACAATCAAATACACAAACTCTTGTGATGCAGGTCAAAATGAAACTTTCAAACACATAAATGTAGTTACAGACGGGCGACACTCAACCGCTTCCTGCAGCTTCACAAAAACGAAGCGCAAACATGGCCGCCATCACAGCAGTGACAAAAAGGATCGGGAGTTCCAGTTACACGTTATTCTTCGTGCTTCACGCCCTCTGTTACAGCGTGCTGATCAGTCAGAGATTTAGGAAAGGACCTCCTCCCTCAGTGGCACCTGCCTCCAAACAACAGGCAAAGTGGTCATGTGATCACTGAAATCAAGATGGAGGATGGTGCAGTGATGTGTCTAATCCTAAGAGACGGTTCAGGTTTTAGATTTGTGCTTTGATTGAAGGAAACACAGTCCAATTGGAAAAAGCCTGAACAAGTATGGCGTGTTTTCACATGACTGCACAGTCCCGTGAAAACACGCTAATCTGATTCATTACCATCAATGTGATTAAAAAGTTCCAAGAAAACAGAAATATTAATAGAGGAAACGTTTAGCTTTACTTCCGTCACGCTGGCTAAACGCCTGCTCACACGGGCCTAAAGGCTGGTAGTGACCGCCCGGCAACCACCGGTCGCTAGGGACAAAAATGAATTTACCGAGAGGTTTGTGCGAATCTCCAGACGGGTGTGAGGTGATACTGAAAGCCTCGGCTGCCTATAGTTTGTGTGAAACATAACAAGTTATCACATGAACATATAAATTATTAACTAACGAGCACCCCCACCCCTCACCTCTGCCCCCCCTGTTTTCAGCTGGAGGTCCCCAGCCTCAGCTCGGCCTCTATGTTGGAGGTCGGTCCGGTGGGTCTGAGCTTCGAGCTGCCGAAGATCACTGCCACGGGGCTGCAGATCCGCTTCCTGCGCCTGTCGCCCATCCAGCCTGGCCCCTCGCAGCGTTGGGTCCGATACGTCACCCACTCGGACTCCTACACGATCCGGATCTGAACATTTGGATTACCTCAGCGATGATCTTACTGACTGATCACAGGACTGGAGACGAGACACGTGACATCAATAACGCAAATGTGATTCTCGCTGTTTCATCCTTTTGTGACTCTGTGTTTGGTGGTTTGTGCAGAATCGGAGCTATGTGCTGATTCAGTTGAATCATTTCTGCTCGGTGACCAGTTCCACTTCTCTTCGTCCTCCTTGCATTTAACCTTCTAGGCATGACATAAAGTTGAAATTAAAATTGAGCTTTAGGACACTGTGTAGCTCTTTGTTTCCTCAGGGTGGATGGATGGTGGCGCTGATGATGAGGATGTAGGCATCCTGGAAGTGAAGAGCCAGCTGTTACATTTCCATTCAGGCCTTTATAAACAATCCCTGTTATTAGTTCTTGTGTTCTTTTTGCTCAAGTTCAAACTAAAGTTTAAACTAGTGAATTCCTTCACCTGCTGTTCATGCTGATGTTCAGGAGCTAACTGGTTTAATCTGACATTGTTTGTCTTTGCTAGTCCTAAAGTTTGGGAAAAAGAAGGCAGCGTGACTTCTTTATGTTTGTAAAGACATGCCACGTCTCATCCAAGGAGCTCCTTCAGTTCTAAAACAGGAGAGTCCTAGGTATTTAACCTGTTTGGAGTCGATCCTGACAGTCGCTGGTATGGGTCATTACCATCAGTGGGGGTTGAGGGCGAAACCAGCTTGGCACATGTGACGAAGCCTCTGCTTAGGTCACCGGTCTTACTCTGCAGAAGTCAAAGACTTCGTAAAGAAAGCTGTTAAAGCTTTTTCTCCAAAGCAGCGATTCCCAAAGTCAGGAGTGCTGCAAAACCAGAAAATCCCGATCTCAAACCTCCACTCTGATCAAAGTGTGAGAGAGTGAAGCATTTACATGACAATTTTATTCAAAATCAGTCTGTTGGCTATAAACTGCTAATGTTACCCATTAGCAGTTTATATGCAAAGTGTTAAGGCTAACGTGACCCATCTGTCACTAGGACACAAACTTCTCCTGCATTTCAAGTTCACATAAATTAATATAAATATGTAATTGTAGTTTGTAAGTAAATTAAAACTGAATTTCTATGACACCTGCAGTACCGTCACGGCCCACTAGGTTAGATAACGGTCCACAGGACGAGAAGTCGTTGGCCCCCTGGTGGCCATTAAAAATGGTAAATGGCCTGCATTTGTATAGCGCTTATCTAGTCCATAGGACCCCAAAGCGCTTTACACTACATTCAGTCATCCACCCATTCACACACTGGTGATGGCAGCTACATGTAGCCACAGCTGCCCTGGGGCGCACTGACAGAGGCGAGGCTGCCGGACACTGGCGCCACCGGGCCCTCTGACCACCACCAGTAGGCAAACACGGGGTTAGTATCTTGCCCAAGGATATTTGACATGCAGCCTGGGATCGAACCACCGACCTTCTGATTAGTGGCTGACCTGCTCTGCCACCTGAGCTACAGCCACCCCATGAAAAGAATACAGTTTAAGGCACTTCTGGTTTCACTGTTAGAAAACCAACTTTTGGGGCTTATTCAGGATAAAATATTTCTGTTCACAAAGAACCAACTGTTAGCTCTAGATGAATCGAGTAAAGTGTCTGTCTAGCTTCAAACAAACGTGTTAGTCCTTAAAGTCCAATGAAGAACGTTCTGATCCAAACCTCATGTTGTGCAGAAACTGGAAGGAGAGACCGTTGAAAGCAGATGTTGTTAGCACATGTAGGCAGCACAAGAGCTACCTTTGAGCTACCATCTCGTGTTCACGTGGAGGGTCCGCCACATGGAGTGCCATTCCAACCCAATTAGTGTTAAGTGGATTATGAAGCCCTCGAAAACCGAGTGAGTGTTTGGCGATGCTTGATGCGTGACCTGTGACTCCACTCCTCTCGAGCGCGCCGCCTGTTCAGTGTCAAATGTAACAAACCTCCAGATATGAGTGGCGTGCTGTTATTCCCTTGGTAATTAATAAGAACTTTCAATAAAATGGAAATTTTGTTGGTGTATCTAAGGACAGAATTTCTGAAGTAATGCAATTAGTTCAAATAACTATAATTTTATTATGCTTTCCCAGAAGAAGGGAGTGGGGTTTTCCCATTGCTCTTGCTGTGACATCGCCTTTAGTCTGAGAGCAGAGAGTTTATCAGATGAATGAAAGTTTCCTAAAATGCACCGAAGCCAATAAACCAACAGACTAAGCCTGGAGTGAAAGTACGCAGCCTTAAGCATCAAACTTTAACTGATATCAGTGTGTTAATAAGATTAATAGAAATATGGTATAAACAACATGTTTCCTACGGAGCTATCTGCTCTTTACAACAAGCTAACAGTGGGTATGTGTTTGATATGTCAAGAAATTAAACAGGATCAACAGCAAAATCTATTTTTCATTCATCCAGGTGACTTACCTGGATGACCTCATCGAGACCATTTTTTAATTTATTTTGGGATTAAATGTTCTAAAAGTGACACATGAACAAATTCCTGCGTCGTAAGAAATAAGTTGTTGCTTTATTGTACGCCTGCATTCGTGGTTAGAAACTTAAATGATGAAACATCCCAGTTGATGCTCGGTGTTCTGCAGCTGATAATATCAGAAATTAGTTACAAAATAGTTTGAAGTTGTGAAATGCGTGTTAAGTCTGGAACGAGGTGACAACATCTAATCTTTAACTGCACAAGCTGCAGGCTTAACTTGCAAATGTCCTGCAATGATGTCACAGGGCAAACGCCTGCATGTCCTTTTACAGCGCAAACACTGTTCCTACAGCGGCTCAGAAGAACATTAACATCTATGGAGGAAATATGGAAGCTCGTCTTTAACGCTACATTTAAATTTCAATCTAATAACTCAAAACTAGGGTTAGCCTGACACTCGGTAACTCAAGAAATGTTGTTTTAATAAGTCCAAATTTGAAGACAATAGCCCAAAATTGTGATTTACAGATTAAAGCCTGAAACCGTGTAGTTTATTGGTCAGGCACTCGGATAAGCTGAGGTGAAGCCCAGCAGAACAGGTTGGAAAAATGAAGCACGTGTCTTAAACCCGTGTTCTACCTGAAGACCAATAGATGGCGATGACTGTGGTTGCATAAAAAGACCTCCAGTCTCCTAGAGGCTTGTCACAGGATGTCAGTCTGCATTCCTCCAGAGTGGTCTGCAATATTGGAGGTGATACACATTAGGGCAAAGTATGTATTCCCTCAGTAGTTGGTGACGGTTCCTGGAGGTTGTTAGCGTATGCCTGGTGAAATCTGTTGCAAGGAGCACGCTGCGACAAAAACGTCTTTGTGGTTGCTTCGGTTGCCTGTAGTTTGCATGGAAGATGCCAATTGTGGGCAAACGCTTTGCTAATTACTGATGTGGTGACGGTGAAACCTGAAATAGTGCGATGCAAATCAGAGAAGGGTCGCCTTCAAAGTACAAGTGATGGCTCAGAACCACGCCGATATATGTCAGAAGGCACAAATTCCACTTTGAAGGTGAATCTTCGACATTTCTATTTGTGTTGCTTTTTTCACAGCTTTGCAGACACACGGATGATTGCAGCAACTTGCTAGCAACCAAAGCAATCGCTGACGAGTTGGGGAATACACTTTTCGCTCACGACCGACCAGCGGTTGCCAAACGGTTGCAGACCAGTCTGTAAGGACATCACGTCTCAAATGACGGACAAGTTAAAACCATGTGGTTGGTGATCATGTAGACGTCTATGGGAAAAAGTCATTCGGAGTTTTTGGGCTCCGCTACTTGTTTTGTATCTTTTTAAATAAAAAAAATTACGTCTGTTTGGTACTTTTGTCATACTGTGTTTCCTGGTGTGTTATTGGGGGCAAAAACATCAGCTACAGTAAAGATCAGCAACTCCCTGATTTCTGTATCGCTTCATAATGTGGAGGACTCCTGGGGGCTCCTGAGGATCCGGGAAACCTGAAGCCTTGTGGGTAATACGGCCCTGGATTGCGGTGAACCTTAAACATGTCAGGCTGTTTAATGTGAATCATCTCCTGCTCTGTTTACCATTGACTGGCCGGTGGTAGCAGCATGTCTGCGCTGCACCGCAGTTTAGGAATCATTTATGCCAAACTATGAATGGACCTTGAAGCAGCAGTAAACCCTCGGTCAGCCTGTAAAGCAGCTGGATTAGCCCGCTGCTGTTTCATTTCGCAGCGGGTCCTCACAGAGACAGCAGAGCGCGCACAAACACGCAGAGGGGAGGGGGAGCTGCTGCCTTTGCGGAAGCCAGTGGAGAGCCGAGGCGGCGCTAAATCAAATTACCATACTAACTAGTTCTCTGTGCGCCGATGTGAGGGGAACAGCCTGAAGAAAAGCCTCCGTTTTAAAGTCAAGACACCTACGAGTCCGGCCTCATTTTGTTGGGATCTTCCTGCCGTCCGCCTGCAGAGGAGATGGGGGACAAGGCGGGCACCAGGTAGGACGGCTAGGCTATAAACGGCTAGCTGCGGGTTAGCGTCGGTTCTCACGCACTTCGCTAGCAGTCGTGCTAGTGGCCCAGGCGGAGGAGTTTCTCCTCTCAGCTCGAGCATCAGAGATTTACCCGCTTAATTAGCTAGACCCGGGCCGAGACCAGCGAGCGAGCCCTCTGGTTCTGGTCCGGAGCTCTCAGAGCGATGACCTCGTTTGCAGGAGGCGAAGTTAGCACAGCAGGGTGGGGTTAGCTATCCGCGGCTGTGGTGGAAGGGACGGCGTTCCAGCGTCCGCTCAGAAATCTGTCAATTTTCAACATCCCGCTAACGTTTCCGTTTGACTGAAAAGCACACCAAAAATGATCAACTGTTAATGCCCACCGCTTAATCTAGCACAAAGAAAAAAAAGCGGCACCATATTCGTGTAATTCTACACCACATTTGGGTGTTTTAGAGAGGAATTCCCACGGTGTTTGTCCAGTAAAAGACCGCTGAAACCTTAGTGGGCGGTATCGACATGTAACCTGCAAAACAGCATTTTAACTCGAGATTTGTTTAGATTATGGAGCTTGTTCTTGTTCGATTCAGTTCCAATGTTTACAGTCAGCTTTTATGAAACGTGAAATATTAGAGTGTTGTTTATTCTCGTTAACCAGGGGCGAAATGTTAAAACGAAGTGTTTTTGAATGGAATTTGGTACGAAGGAGCGTATTGGTGGGCTATTTAGGTTCGCTTACCTCCATCACGGGCTTATTTCGGGTTTCTGGTACCGCAGGTTCATGCCAGTTAGCTGTAAATGTGTTTTAAAGAGGGTGGAGGTTTCGTTTTCGGACATTTGTGAGTTCTGGTTCCTGTTTCGGGCCGATCTACTCGGTGTATAGGCACAGCACAACGACACAAAGTGATTGTGGTTTCCATAAAGCTCAGGATGCCCCCCTTCCCTTGTGTGTTTACACCCCCAGTTAATTGGGTTAGCACTGCTGTGGATCAGCGTTCCTTCCCGTGTTTTCGCCATTATTCCTTCTTCTGCAGATTCCGATTAACAGAAGAGACCCAGAGGGCTGAACTGCATTAATCCAACACACAAAAATAAGACTAATGATGAGGAATAACTGTTATGTTTTTGTGCAGCTCATCAGGCCCCGTCCTGTTGTAATGTGGCAGGAATACAGGGCCTTTAAAGTCAGGTTCAGCTCTTTCCTTTACTCCAGCACATGTAAGCTGCTGAAAATGACATTAAAGTGCTGACTGCTTCAGGCTGTTTACATCCACATCCTGCCTGTTTCTCCTCTGTGAGGTCAAGGTTTGTTGGATGTACAGCTTTCATGCACACGATCCGTTTCCTTATGTGTAGCAGCTTTTTGCTATAAAATGCTGATCATCGCTGCTGTTTTTGATGGATTTTCCTCTAACTGGGGGGGGGCGAGTCAGCCCAGCCCATTCCACTTGCAACTTAACTTTCTTTCCTGCCAGTTACTTCCTGTTAGGAAGCAGGTGGAAAACTGGGAGGAGAGGAAACGGGCAGGAGGAAAGACCAACGTCATAGCTGTTGAAGAAATGGCTCTCACTGACATTCACGCTCGAGCTGCTGTTAACAGATTATACGTCGAAGTGGCTCTGTGGCACTTCGCCTGTTTGCAAAACACCAGCCAGCAGTGGAAAGTTTTTCTCTTTGACCTTTCACCTTTTGTACTGACAGCTGTGAAGCTTCTCTCCTCGAGTCTTGTACGACTAGATTAGTAAGTGTGGCTGCGAGGTGTAGCGACGAGCCCAGCTAGAACCAATCACATGCTGATATTTTGTCTGTGTGTTACATTAAAGACAAAAAGGCCTCTCCTTCAGAGGCCACGGCTCAGGAAAACTGTTATTTCACGCTTTGCTTCCAGTTGTTTACCGTGTCAGGTGTTGCACAGCTAAAAGAATCCGTTTTAATTGGCTGTTGTATTGAGATCATCTTCAACACCTGTGTCAAGGACGTGAAGCCGTCACGCTTTACCAGACTCATTCACAAAAACAGCAATTTTATGTCACAAAACACGTGAGCTGCTTGTTTACAGCTCGCTCAGCTGCTTAGTTCTTGCTGCTGCATGACTTTGGTGTTCCTAATGTATTTAGTCATATCGGAAATGGTGCGTTGCATAAACTCGACCCTGTTTTCATGTAAGAGTCGCTGGTTTTGTAAGAGGAGTCTGGTGCTGACTTTGTCCCTTGTTGCCACATTTTTCGTGTAAACAGGTTGGCGTGCTCTCAAAGCTGCAGCTGTTTTTGTGCTCAACGTGAAGTTTAGATGTCTGGAATTATTGTCACAAACGTCTAATTATTATTATTCATGTCTGGTTGTTGTTTTTATTACTATCAAAAATGGCTGACCCAGGCCTGACCCTCTTCATGCTGCAGACACAGATGAAAGTAGCAGTGTGTATTTGCTCTGCATGCAAATGCAAGCAAATCATTTCTTTTTGAAAAAAACCAAAACTGGTTGTGTTATTTTTAGCTGGAAACAAACAGTGATGCACTTCCTGTTCTTCATCCTGCTTTTAATTTGTACAAACGTACGAAACACCGACCAGGTGTGAAATGTGGTACATCGGCTGGAGATGTTCACACGCCCAGAAATCGAATCCAAAACCAACTAATATATACACGACCGCAGCTTTCTTACTCAGGGCGTCAGACTGTGCTCAAAGGCAGAGGAAGAGTCCGACTCCATGGCCTGTATGAAGCTTTAACATGTGACCTCAAAGTTGGTTCGTTCAGAGCGCCGCTAAATACACGAATGTTTCTAACGTCGGGTTTTTTCAGGGTAAATGTTAAAAAGGACCAAAAAGTCAATTTTTGAGCTGCCAATGATAAAAGCTGATCAGAAATATCAGGAAATGAAGAATAGCTTTAATGCTTACATCCCATATGGCTTTTTAAAGCTCCGCTTCGTTCTCCAGGCGTAAATATTTAATGGGAGACATAATTGCAATATTTATTTATTCATTTTGAGGGACTTCCTGCGGCCTGAAGCTCCAACATTGGAGCGACGCTGATCGATTTTAGATTAATCAGAATAAAAGTTTTGTGTTTTTTTTAGAAACAATGAAGAAAAATAAGCTGTGAGTGTTTCAGGCCTTAGTGGCTCCATAAAGTGTCCAAATTATACATTTTTAATTCATTTTATAAACAATAAAATGATTCTTATGTCACATAAACATGAATTTGGTGATAAAAATAACTGTTCGCTGCAGAGCTGATTGAGCGCTGAGGGGCTGGAAACAGCAGATACTGCAGTACTTTTTCCTGCTGGTGTAACAGGAGCAACTGATGCTGGATCAGGACATTTAAAGGAAAATAATCCTCAACACAAAGCTCAGATATTCACTTTATTGTTGAATATTTTTTGACAAAAACGTCAAATCTGACTCTCAGAAGATGACACAGACGGTTTGTTGTGTTGGCGTTTGTGTCTGAAGCTCAGTTACAGGTCTGTAGTTTAATACCAGCCGCAGAAATCCCTCCCTTTCATCACTTTTCTCCCCTCATTCTGCACTAATTTTAGTTTTTCTAGGAGCAGTTGTTCGACTAATTGGCTGATTACTAATGAAAACAGTTGCAAAACCGCCCACAGTTTAATCATTTAATCTGAATCAGCAGTTTGAAAGAGGAAGAAAACAGCCTGGAGATGAACGTCTAGTTTGAGTCTTGCAGAATAACTTCCTGGTTCCTCGCTCAGCTGCAGAGTTTAAAATTTAACTTTCACCCTGTTTCGTTGCTCCGGTGGTCAGACCAGTCTGAGTCCTGCTTATCTGCAGCTTCATCGTTACAGACTCAGCTGAAGGCATCGGCCTGACAGGAAGGGCGGGCTGAACTGCCACAATAAGAGCCTGCTCGTGCGCTTTGTTCCTGGGATTATTTCTGCTGCCGCTAAACTGTGTTTGTTGGGTGTAAATCCAGAGGAAGGTGTAACTGAGGCTGGCATGCATGTGAAGGCAGGCGGCCCTGAAACGCGAGTGTCTGTGGGCGGCAGGCGCTGCAGAGGAAGTGCAGCGACGGTGGCGTCCGGCAAACATGAGGAAGTTTTGTCAGAGTGTGAAACGCAGCGAGCATCACGCTCCTGCTGCTCTGAGTGTTTGGCTAATAAACAGCACGAGAAGCCGCCGCTCACTGAACTGTGACCGAGAGGAAACCTGGTTTCCTCGTGTTGCGGTCCGACCTGCTTCCTGTCCTCCACCTGCTTGTACAGGTACTGCAGCGGCTGTGGTCACGCTCGTGATTTAAAAAACAGTCATTCATGGAGCATGAATTTGAATTTGTGTCGTTTGGAGCTTTTTAAAGCTGCTCAATTTTGGTTTGCAGTCCTTTCCCCTCCCAGGAGCTCTCTGGTGATGCTGAGCCTTCTCCAGCATGATGCTGCACCATGCTGCAGATCATCAGATGAAGATGTAGGGTTTATGGCTGCAGACTGGCAGCTCTCAGATTGGTGCATGGAGCCGTTCTAAGCCCATCGCTCTCCCGTTTCAGCAGCTGAAGCTCCGAGTGTTCTCTGGTTACAAACAATTAAGAAGAGAAAATCTGCACTCAGACTCTTCAAATCATCTGAGATGTTTTTAACACCAGCAGCTGGGTAACACGATCCCGTTGTCACATGGCAACAGTTCATGTTCAGACATGAAGCTTCACGTCAGCTGTTTGTCTGAGCGAGCGCCGTCCCTGCAGACCTCCCCCCTGCAGGTGGAAGCGCTCGCTGCGACGCTCTCCTGTTTACGGGATCACTTTCCCTCGACGCCAGCTTCAGCCTCACGTGGTCGTATCATCCGCTGCTGCTTCTCTCTGTTTCTGACACAAATACAAATGAGAATATTTGAGTTTTGGGGCCACACTAAGTCTCACTGATGGGTTTGAAGCTTTGCTGAAACATCTGCGCGTATTCATTTTAACCAACTCATTAGTGCGTCATCCTCCTGGTTTATTAATCACACCAAAAGTGAGGTGTTTTTAAATTTCCTGTTCATATTAAACACAAGCTCGGTGTCTGCAGCACGCTAAACACCGCTTGTTTTTTTTTCTACTCTGGGATCTGTATGAAGTCACAGAGAAGCACAGAAGCCCCACCCACTGTCCAAAGCATCTGTTTATGCTTGGAGCCAGGATGAAGGGGGTTGTTTGCCCCTCAGCTGACTTCTAGAAGTTAACCAGTCAGATGAAAGCTTGTTGGAGGGTGAACTAAAGGGACTGCAGCAGGCTCAGAGTAAAGAGGAAGGATTATTTCTGAACTGTGACTCATGTAAAACTGCTCTGGTGCAGTCCCAGAATAAAAACGTGGAAACGAGCCACAGAGGTTCCCTTTACCTCGTTCAGCCACAATAAGAACCAGCAGTTTAACATGAAACCAACAGGTCCTCCAGAATGTAACCATTTCTACCCACTGACTGCAAAAATAATAACAATAATATGAAGGTGCCTAAATTATAAAGACCACAGAATAAAAACGCAGCGATCGCTGAATGAATCGCAGGAGCTGCAGCGACGCTCAGCTGAAGCACTACAGCCGGACTCCATGATGGACGAGTGTTTCTGCTCAGCCTGGACACAAACACTCGCTGTAACTTCGTCAGTCCAGGAAGCATTTCAGGACGAGGCGTGTTTATATCTGCGCAGCAGGGCCCTTCATCACCTCAGATTTAACGTTGGAGTCGAGAACAAAGCAGGCCTGCTGTTCGTTAAGGTTAGCAGCTCACAGGGACGTTTACGACTTCATCCTGCGAGGACTCGAGCGAGTTTCTCATCCTAGTTTCTCTGCCTGCAGAGCTCAGAGTTAAAATACTAGTCCATAACACACTCAAACCACAAGCCCACCGTCTGCTCCTCAGCAGGCTTCCAGAAGCTGACCAGTTAGAAGAAAGAATGATGCAGGGTCTTACAAGTTATCCAATTCTTACAGCAGCCCGCAGTAACCGGCTGATGGGCGAGCAATGAGCGGCCATGACGCTAACAGGAGCCGTGGTCCCAGAGGTCCACTGTGTGGTTCAGCTGACACACAAACTCAGAGTTTAAGGTGGAATTAAAGGTAAAGGCAGCGAGCTGAAATTAGCAGCAGCTAAAATAAGTCGATGAGCTCCAGCCGTGCTGCTGTGATTTGTAATGGTTTGAGAGGCGCTGGCAGGCTGCTGCCATCATTGTGGTGTGATCTGGCAGCCCTGTGGGCCTCTCTGCAAGGTGCTGATAACTGGTATTGGCACAAAGTTTGGAAAACGTGCTCTCAGATAATTGGGATGGAGGGTGACCCACTTAGCTCCAGCTTGTTCCTCCTGCTTTTAGTTAGTTTTCTGACGGTGAAGTCACAAAAATGCTCCTGAAAGGAAACAAAATGTATTCATTTATTTCCTATCTGAAGCCTCACTGAACAAAATAACTTTATTAGTAAGAAGCAGCAGACGAATATGGGCAGAAGTGACAATTTAGACTCGTCAGCAGTCCAAACACCATCCGTGTCTTTAAACAGTCGTGTGTGCAGCAGCAACAAACACACACTTGAGTCTTTTTTTGTTGTGCTTTCCTGGGACCACTTCTACACACTGACCTCATTATTGGGGACTGTGGCCACCAACATTCACCAACGGGAGCAGGAAACGCGTGACCGGACGCAGGCCCATTATAGTCCTCACACCCTGCCATGTCTGCCCCCTTCCTCCTTTGCAGCGTTTGCGTCTCGTCGAGTCATCGTTCCTGAAAATGAAATGGGATTTCTTTGGGCTGGATGTGCAGAGGTGCCGACACAGGTGGATGTGTGAACCGCTGCACCGCGGCGCCTGCCTTGGTTCCACCTGTTTCCTGTTTGAAGTGTAGAATAATTAGTTGATTCTGGCCTAAAAGGTCACTTGGAGCGTTTTGTTCTGAGCAGTCGAGCTTCGTTTTCAGCAGGTTTGTGTAAATACCAGGAGAAAGAAATGCACCAGGTTTATGCTACGATTAGTAAACAGTCTCAATTAGTGAATCTCGCTCTTGTGAAATGTCAGTAAGTGAAAATAAAAGCAGAAACAGCTGATGTCTCTGACCTGGGGTAACTTTCTGTGCACGAATGAGCAAAATGACCACAGTGACTCTAATTGATTCATATATGGTAACATTTTAAACGCTTTCTTCAACTCTGTTAAATAAAACAGTTTCTGGATTATTAGTCTGACATCAGTCGCCTCTGGCTTCGAGAAGCTGTGACCATCCTCTGCTGTGGTGTTTGAGGGTAATCAATAAAGAAAATGATTGCTGTTATCGGCCCTAATTGGGAAGCAGATCTGGAACGGCGTGGCCTGAAGAGGCGTGGAGCTGAGCTGTGCGTGCGGTTCATATCTGCAGCTCATTACGACGTGTTTTTGTTCTTTCTGGATTCAAAGCTGCAGATTAAAAAACACCACAGTCGTAAATAAGCCTCGAGCGCCAAAAATCGGAGCCGCAGAAACCTGTAAATCAGTTTTAATTCATGCTTTGAAGTGATCTAAATTTAACCCGAGTGTGGAAAGCATCAGCGGCTGTGACAGGAAGCAGGAGCTGCTGTGAAGCAGGACAGCAGCGCCTCGTCCTGGCAGAGGATGATGTCTGAGGCGGCGAGGGCCTGGAGGAAGTGACAGCTTCATACAGATGCTGAGAGCCTCGGTGCTTCCTCACACAGCTGCTGAACTGTGGGCATGTTTGGTTTTCAGGCCTTAAAATGAGTTCAGCTTTTCAAGGTGTGTTGGCACCTGTGGTGCTTTTTCATCACATCACTAGACTGAAAAGACTCCAAACGGCCATCTGCTGTCAGCCACAGAGGCCACGCCCCTGATTTCCAAACTGGATGCAGTTCAAATTGATGAGTTCTAAAAACATTTAGCTGCAGTTGTTATGATGGAGAAAATGAAAAGTTAGAGATTTTAAGACCTTGCGGGGTCTGACTGAGTTCTGAAGCCTCAAGTGGACATTAAAGGAACTGCAGCGGCGTCCTTTTCCAGCTGACTGATAAAATTCAGCAGCGTGAAAAGCAGCGTAAAACACGGGATGTGGCATTTCTGGTTTGCACTGTGGCAGGACACCAGAGTGGGTGGAGCTTCATCACTGTGAGCAGGATGCTTTTGGCACTTCCGTCATTGTCCGAGGTTAAACTTTGGTCCTGCTGCGGTTTGTGTTTGCAGAGCAGAACGAAGACCGCGGTCACAAACTGAAGGTTTAGTCCATCTGTGCTCTCTCTGCAGGTTATTGTCAAAAAAGCCGCGGTTCGCCACACCTTTCAGGGTTTTCCATTAGGTCATAGTACCAGCTACTTTTTTAGCGATCTGAGCAGGTGGTAAAATGTGATGTCATCAGACTGCATGCCTGGTAAGTAGCATCACTCAGTGAGCATCAGGCTCACCAAAATCAAAACCGCCATCTTTGAAACCCGGCAAAGCTGTGACGACAACCAGACACACCCAGTAGTGCTGGACTGCAAGTGACCCGAAGAGGGGCCGAAGTTTACTTTGGTTTATTGACATCAAGATCGTGGGTCCAAGCTGCGCCTGGGACCGGTTTTGGGAGATTAGTTTTTCTTCGATGCTTCTCTTCTCTCTTCCACCACTTTTTTATACCAGTTGGGAAATGGGCAGTCCGCTGCCACCTTGTGTTTTGGCAGTGAAACTGCAGCCACGCTAAAGCCTCACTCTTTCAGCTGCGGCTCAGGTCTAGACTCAGTCCTGGTGTCGGTGTGTTCAGCTGTTCTTGTAATGGTTGTTGAGATCCTGCGGCGTGTTTCTGGTGGTTCAAAGGTTTGTAAAAGTTTCAGTGGCATCGCGCAGACTTGGACTCGAGTAGTTTAAGTGATCGTGTTGGTTAACATCCACCTGTTTCCCTCTTAAAGCAGTGCGGTGACATCCCATAATAACCCTAGGTCATGTACACTGTTTTTCATCAAAACCACTTCCCCCCACCCCCAACCATCGGTTTCAAACAAGGCCACTGTTTATTTCGACACAGCAGGAAGCTGCCACACTTCCTCGGGTTATTTTTCACAGAATTGTCTCACCCACACGCTCTCGATGAGCTGCAGCGGCTCTGAAAACCTGTTTGAATCGACCGCAGCACTCTTAGTTTAGCGACAGGGTTCAGCCAGAAAAAACGAGCTAACCTTCTCTTTCTTTCCTCCTCTCTGTCTCTGTCTCCTCTTCCCAAACCTCTCAGAGTTTTCAAGAAGTCGAGCCCCAACTGTAAGGTGAGTCCACGAGTTTGTTCTGCAACATGTGACTCTGTGAGGAAGCAGTAGAAAGCACTCTTCTCCCTCTGCCACCTAAAACATGAAGCTTTGTTCATACTGACCCTTCAGATCGCAGCATTTCACTCAAACACAGTAAAACCACAATCATAGAATCAGGGCGATTAAAAGCAAACATACAGACGTAAGGGCAGAAAAACAAGCTGCACTCCTTATGTGACAAAGATGAAGCAGGCAGAGCAGCTCCACAGTGAAGTCGGGTAGTAAACTGGGACGTCACCAGTGTGACCAGTTCATCCAGTTTTAATTTAAATATTTGTTAAGAAGAGAGTCGAGATAAAGATTAATATTCAGTGTTATGCAGTCGTTCCTTTACTGTTGCCTCTAAATTCACTCCCTGTCAGAAGCTTGTGGTTCAGTGTGGTTAAACACTCGCTCAGATCCTGCTTTGCTCCTTTGATATAGTTACATTTTTCTTTTTTAAACTTCCTGTCGATGGGGAAGTTAACGTTTTTACAACGTCCTGCAGCAGCTCTCTGGAAGGTTGATGCTGTAGCCAGAGACCGCCTTTGTACTCCAAACCAAAAACCTTCCATTGTTGTACTTGGAAACAATACAGAGAGCAGCAGTTTATAAATAAGTTATTAACAGCACATCGTCTGCAAACGTGTGCACAGAGCTGGTGATCTTTGTGTGGGGATCAGGGAGAGAAGAGGTCAAAGTTAATCCAGTTTTCACTGAGCTGTTGTGATCACACATCTGGATTAAATAAACGAATCCTGTGATTGGTCTGTGCAGTTGACGGTTTACTTGGGAAAGCGAGACTTTGTGGACCACCTGGACCACGTGGACCCAGTCGGTGAGTCTGGACCCGTTTGTGTTTGTTCTGGAGTTTTTAGGGAGCACGGCTGCTGTGGTGCAGTCCTGTATTTACAGCAGTCAGAGATCCTGATCAGGTAAACCGGTGACCTTCGTGACTGTTTGTCTTCCTTCCTGCCAACAGATGGCGTGATCCTGGTCGACCCAGAGTACCTGAAGGACAGGAAAGGTAGGCGAGAACACCTGCACACATGTACAGGAACACACTGAGACTTCACTGCAAGATCTAAACGTTAAGCAAATGTCTCATCAGCCAATCGTGTGGCAGAGTGTGCTGAAGCTTGTTGCCGTGTGTAAATAAACGAGAGTAAAATCCTTGCGCTCGTGTTGTTTCATCAACTTCCTGCTGACCTTTCTGTGCAGAGCTGAAGCCTTTGATTAACGACTTCCTGTTTATTTCTCAGCACGTTCATTTATTAAGGACACAAACGTCTCATTTTTGTCTGTTTACTGTTAAACAACTGTTTCAGAAACGTTGAATACAAAACAGGCAGAATGACCTTTGTTTACATAATAAGCAGTTTCTGGACCTCTGACTGTGTCAATAGTTGGAAAAACAGGTAAATTACTGTTTGCCTGAACGTTGTTTTTAATGTTGCTACACAAACATCACCCAACAAAACCCAGAACGCAGCTCAGCTCTTATCCTGCGTCTGCTTTCCTGTCGTATCTGCTCTTCCACTGCTGGCAGTTAATCACTGCGAGCTCTAAACAACCCGTTTATCACAGTCTCTTACACTCGTGGACCTGCGTGATGTCACAGTGAGATGTCAGAAGTCCTGTTGTTCAGTTGCAAAGGGCAGCCAATGGGAAAAGGGGGAGGAGCTTCATCTCTGTCATGTTCGGCATGAGCTGTAAGGTTATTTTGAAGTGTGGCTCATGCAGAGCAGCAAAGGTCCACTTCACCTCTTCTGTAACGACGCTAATGTTTTATTGTTGAATTAAAACTGATTTTAATGAATGACTCATTTAAACTGCAAACAGCCTCTTCTTCCTCCCCACAGTCTTCGTCACGCTGACCTGTGCGTTTCGATATGGACGCGAGGACCTGGACGTGCTCGGTCTATCCTTCCGGAAGGATCTGTACATCTCCACCTTCCAGGTGAGCTTCATCAGCCTGCGCCTGAGCAGACAGTTGAGTACTTTTAAAGGTCGGACGTTCTCACTGTCGTCTCTCTCTCGGCGTCAGGCCTTCCCTCCGGTGCCCGAGGAGCGGAAACCCAACAGCCGGCTGCAGGAGAGGCTGCTGAAGAAGCTCGGCCAGCACGCACACCCCTTCTACTTCACCGTGAGTCACTGCTCCTCCTCAGGGCTCCGTGTGTGGAGCTCGTGGTGAAGACGCCACGTCTTTATATGGTGTTTGAAGTGAAATGCGCTCCATGTGAGTCTGTGGGCACTGACTCACTGCTGGAGCCCCTGCTGGTGATTAGAGGAACTGCAGCTGCACGGCGCACTATCGAACCTTTCTGCACCGCACGTGTGCAAGATGTATAAAATATGTAAGAAGAAGAACGGAGCTGTTTAACCAGGTGGGAGCTCAGGGCCTCGATGTAAACATTTAAAGATGAGCATATTGATCTTTGCCATCAGTTCATTAGCCTGTGTTTACCCAGCATCCATTAGTGTCTGAACGCCGTCTGCTGTGGCCTGAAAAAGCAGATCATTTATAGCCCGCTGACCTCGTCTGTCGGCTCTTTCCTCGGGCTGCTTCAGCCCGGCGTCAATATCAGGACGAGCGTCAGACGTGTCTCGTGATGTTTGCTGATCGCCAGCTTCCTGAAATAAACAAGGAGATGCAAATGAGGAAGACTTTGGCTTCCTGTTAGACTAGAAGTGACACACTGAAGGGCGTTTCCATCGGAGCGCAGTTCCCTGTAAGATCAAGAACCCTTTGAGGAACTCAGGAAGTCGCTCATTACACTCATTTGTTCCGGCTTCCTCCTCCTTCACACACGGTGGAAATTTAATTGCACTTTTTTACCTTCCTGGAACTTTTTGGTTGAATAAATTCATCACACCTCCTCAGCAGGGCATTTATGAGGGAGGACGTCCTGCAGCTCTCAAACTGTGGCGTTTACTCTTAATGTGCACAGATTATTTTACTCGATAAAGCACGTCTGAGAAAATATCTGAGCTTTATGGGAGCCTCGGATTCTTTACGAGAGTCGAGCTGAGCCAGGGCTGCTGGGAGTTTAAAGGTCGGCGCTCTGTGGGAAGCTTCGTAAAAACGGGCTCTGAGTTTGTGGTGTGGAAACAACGAATGAACAAACTGTGATTCTGACATTCTCGTTCTTCTTCTTGTTTTCCAGATTCCTCAGAATCTCCCCTGTTCAGTCACTCTACAGCCCGGACCCGAGGACACCGGCAAGGTAACCGAACCCCCCCAGCTGTGAAACGGCAGAGCACGGATGTCGTAAATTAGCTGTTCCCAAACGTCACGCCTCAGTTTGAAATATAAATCTCCGTCTGGGTCCACCCAAACCCGCCTGCCCGAGGGGATTTACAGGCCGGCCTCAGGGGGTCACATAGTAAATGCGAGGGTCACGTCAGGAAGGGCATCCGGTGGAAAGTCTGTGCCATTCATCCGCTGTGGCGACCGCTGCGAGTTCAGGGAGCAGCTGAAAGCACCGCCTCCTGCTTCTGATCGTTAACTTGATGCTTTAACGATGAGTTCAGTCTGAAACTGAAGGACGAGAAGTTTTCAGGTCCAGTAAATGATCTCAGAGCTGGAGCAACATCTCTGATCTGATTGTTCTCTGTGGAAGTCTGACGGAGGGTCTCCGCCCTGTTCACGTTGCATTCAGCGCCCCACCCTGCAGCTGTTTCAGCAGGACAATGCTCACGCCCACAGGGTCGGAGCAGAGCGGGCTCTCTGGGTCGGACGGCGAGCCACGCACGTCCCAGTACGCTACATCGGCACAACCAGTAACTGCTGCACCCATCTGGTTCCTCCACAGCAGGTCAGCAGACGGGTGGATGCCCATGTCACGTTCAGAGGAGGTTTAAATAGATTTTAAAGACGTTTAACAGCCGTCAGATTTAAACCCCACAGTCTGGTTTATTAGATCAGGTTCCTTTAAAGACTTGATGGAATTTAAACTGAATTATAAAACCTGGCAACTCAATCCTTATTTGCGAAACGAGGAAAAAACAATCAGACTAACCAACTAGTCTGAAACTAAAACACTCAGATTTTAAGCCACAGCTGAGGGAGAACAGCGCATTGAGTGGTCCACGCTGTTCGGCATTTATCAAAATCATAAATCGTCCCGACAATTTTTTTTCTTCTTCTACTTCTTCTGAAGTGGGAAAGCCCAGACCTTCCTCCCTCCACTTCCTCCAGCTTATCCAAGGAAACGTCGAGGTGTTCCAGGCCAGCGTGCCCAGGTCTACGCCGAGCCTCCTCCCAGTAGGACATGCCCAGTGGGAACACGTGACCCAGGCGACAGCCTTAGCTGGCTGCTGTTGATGTGCAAGAGTAGCAGCTCCACTCAGAGCCGTCCACCTCCTGGAGAAAGCTCATTTCTGCTGCTGGGATTTGTGGTCTCATTCTAATAGAGTTCACAAAAGCTAACATGAAAGGATTCATGAAGCGCCATCTGGTGGCAGATGGCTGCATAACATTTAGGACACAATAATTTACCAGCACCAGGGATCAATGAAACTGTTAACAGTTAGATTAAACAACTAGTGACAACAGCGGTGATTGGTCCACCAGTTGCACACATCCATAATAATAATAATAATGATAATGTGTCTTATTATTATAACAGCAGCATAACCTTTGCAGCTGACAGGTGGAGCCACCTGCAGCACGAGATGGTGATGCAGCCTTTTACTGTCGTGAGATTAAGAACCTGAATGTGAGGCTGAGCTCTCCTCCGCTCAGGTTACTTCAGCTTGTACAAAGATGAATATTCAAACCCTCCTCTGTCCTGCAGCTGCGTGTTCGACTCTGAAGCGTCGCCGAGTTTGCGTGCGTCTGCAGACGTCCTGGCTTTTAGTTGTTGATTTTCTGCGTCGGCTGATGTTTCCCCGATCAGGCCCTGAAACAGTGGATCTGAGCGCTCGGTCAACTAAACAACTTGTTTCCTGTCAGTGAGGAAACAGTTCCCATCACTGCCTTTTTTCTTTCTGCAAATGCAGCATTCTGATGTGCAGCGTGTCCTTCAGGCCTGAAGACGTGCAGACCTTTTCTTTCTCACACATTTTGGCTCCTGAAACCTATTTTATTCCTGATTAACAGCCTGACGTTCAGGAGCTTCTTCCAGCGTTGACATGTTTGGTTTTAAACGGGGAGTCAGATGGAGTCGGTTATCTGTGAGGAGCGTCGCTGACAGGCTACGATTTACCGTAACAACCGCCTCAGACAGGCCGATAAACACGCCGTTGATTTTTAGCTGAAGCTGTTCCAGCGTCGCTCATAGCGGAGAGAGAGACGGTGTGTTTATAAAACGGGAAAAAGCAGGGCTGCGCTCGCAGCGCCTCAGCACAGTTGAGGCGTTTTTATAAACACGGTGGCGCTGAGCTGTCCTCTCTCCTCTTCCTGCAGGCCTGTGGTGTTGACTTTGAGATCAGAGCTTTCTGTGCCAAGTCAATGGAAGAGAAGATTCACAAGAGGTGAGTTCAGACCTGCGGGAAGCTTCACTCAGGAGCTGCGTGGAGTTCAAACCCAGAGTAGAAATAACTGAGTGGGGATTAGCTTTGGTCGTGTAAACATGAACACCCACCAGTGGAACAGGAAATAAAAGGTCCACTTTAAAGCTTTTGCTGTGTTTCATTGCAGTCCAAAGCCAGCCTGTACCCCAGCAGGCTCTGTGCGGGGCTTTTATTTTGTAGACTCACAGTACAGTAATCTGCCAGAGGCAGTAAAATATCAGACTCAGTGTTTACTTTAGGACAAGAGAGGCTCTTCTGTGTGTCATACTGTGAGCCAGCCTCCAGTGAACGCTAGAGGAATCACCGTGCTGAAGCCTGTGCTGTGTGCAGGAACTCGGTGCGTCTGGTGATCAGGAAGGTTCAGTACGCTCCGGAGAAGCCTGGTCCTCAGCCGATGGTGGAGACCACCCGCAGCTTCCTGATGTCCGACAGGTCCCTGCACCTGGAGGCATCTCTGGACAAAGAGGTGCGCAAACAGCCCCGATACCCACAAACCAGTCCTTTGTTTTTATGCTAATAATGGTGTTCTGTGTGTAGCTGTATTATCACGGCGAGCCCATCAGCGTCAACGTCCACGTCACCAACAACTCCACCAAGACCGTCAAGAGGGTGAAGATCTCCGGTACGCATCTCTCAACTCTTCTTCTGCGCTTCTCTGCACGCCGTCCTGTTATCACAGTCACACCTCCTCTGTTTGTCTTCCGCAGTGCGTCAGTACGCAGACATCTGCCTGTTCAGCACTGCCCAGTATAAATGTCCCGTGGCTCAGCTGGAGGCAGAGTAAGTGTCCCTGTCCCTGCATGCTGGTGTAACTGGTTTAAACCAATGTTAATGAATGAAAATGTGATAGAGTTAACCAGGCTAACCAATCTGAGCTGGTTTAAAACCAGAGGTCACTGATGTTCACACCTGTTTAATGAGATTGGTGGGGGGGCGGGGTTTACCTGAACGGTTTGCCTGACAGCAGCGTCTGGTCTCCACAGCGACCAGGTGTCGTCCAGCTCCACCTTCTGCAAGGTGTACACTCTGACCCCGACACTGGACAAGAACAGAGAGAAGAGAGGACTCGCTCTGGACGGGAAGCTCAAACATGAAGACACCAACCTGGCCTCATCCACCATGTAAAACACAAACACACACAGGTGTAACACACAGGTGTGTTTGCATGGTCATGTGACCACAGTGCTCCGTGTGTGTTTCAGTGTGAAGGACGTCACCAACAAGGAGGTCCTGGGGATCCTGGTGTCCTACAGAGTCAAAGTCAAGCTGGTGGTGTCCCGTGGAGGGTACAGCAACACACACACACACACACACACTCTGCTGACATCACTTCCTGTCCTCTCCAGCTCACTGTTTCCTGTAGCTGTCATCAGTGAAGTTTGGAGGTGTTTTTATCTTCCAGACGTCACTCAGTGAAACGCCTGAGGCCGAGCTGCACCTGAACGTTTCCTACGCAACGGTCTGGCGTTTGTCCACGTTTACATGGAAACGCCACACGTGTGAAGCGAGTCTCGGGATCATATTTGACTTAAAGACGTACAAAAACCACGTGAATCTGTTTGAAGCTTAAACACGGCCAGAGCTTGAGCTCAGACTCCAGTCAGCTGAGGGAGGCTTTACAAAGTCATCCTTTCACAATAAAAGCCTGTGAGTTTAATGAGTCCTCAGCATCTGTCTAAGACCGTAGTCTGACCGTCTGTCTCGCCATTGGACTTTAAAGTCACATGACTTGTGATATTTACTGAGGGCGGCTGGCGGTGGTGCTAAATTGAGCATCTCTTCATTTTTTTTCACGGTTGGTTTAAAGACGATTTTCTCGTTTTTCGGGTGTTTTATTCAGAAAGAGCTGCAGGTGCAGCTCGGCCTCCACTTCCTGCTTCCTGCTCCTCCCTGTTGGCTCGTTGCTGTCGTTGCTCCTCACTGTGTTTGCTTCCACTGTAGGTTTTTGTGAACCTGTCGCCTCCTGCTTTTCATTTCACCTCCCTTCTCTGTGTTTTTTGGCGTTTTGTGTGGCTCCGCCCCGTCCCCCTCTCCCCCCTCCTCTTCTGTGTGCCCTCCCCCCTCCCTGCAGGCTGCTGCGAGGCTTATTGGAGAGGTAAATGGGACTGAAAGCCTCAGTGTTCATGTGGGGGAACCACAGCCTGGTGTTTAATGTTAACATGGGTTTCTAGGTGGTTGTTGTCACTCAGTAGTCAGTTTGCTCTGAAGTGAGTTAATTATCAGCTGTGGGGCTTTAACGGGCAGATTTATCAGGACATTTTTAACCTGTTGGTGGAAAAAGGAAGGAGGCGGGGTTTGCTGCAATGACGCCGTGCTTCCTATTTTCCAGGGACGTGTCGGTGGAGCTGCCCTTCATCTTAATGCATCCTAAACCTCCGGAGCCGCCGGCGTCCCGCCCGCAGTCAGGTGAGTCTCTGCAGCCTCGTATGCGGATTCACCATGGCACTGAGCATCAGTTTCCATGGAAACGGCAGTGTGACATGCTTGTGTGTGTGTTTCAGCTGTGCCAGAAACTGACCCGCCCATCGACACCAATTTGATAGAGTTTGAAACAAAGTGAGTTTCCAGACTTCTGCTGAGTTTTATTTTACATACAAACAGAAACCATGGCAACCAGCACTAACATAACGTCACTGATTAAACTGAGCATGTGTGAACTACAGCACGCCATAACGTGGAACTGACTGACCCTTACAAGGAGCAGCTGTCGGTGTTCAATACCCGAAAGTTTAAAAATCCTAAGGAAACAAAAAACGTCTGTAAAATGAATCCATGGACGTGAACGGTTTCTCCTGTGAGAGCTGCGAGTAGGGATGGGTACCGGTGTCCGGTGC